TTTCTCCCGTGTTATTATCCAAAGTTAATCTAAACTTGAATAATGTACTTCATTTGAGTGTAATAATTATGTTGGTTGTTGTTTGTGGAAGCGCCAGTGAATGAGCTCCATTAACTGAGTTTTAAACATCACTTAAATAGAAGATCCGCATAGCATTTCGTTTTTGGGATATTTCTAAAGTGTGTGTGTGTGTGTGTGTGTGTGTGTGTGTGTGTGTGTGTGTGTGTGTGTGTGTGTGTGTGTGTGTGTGTGTTAGAGCTGATGAGCCAGCCGGTCAGCTGGTGCAAAGTGGAGGCTCTCGCTGTGAGGACGGATCTCGTCTCGGTGGTCAAAGACCTGTCGCCGCCCCCCATAACCGTCATGTCCATCAGCCTGAAGACCATCCAGAACCCAAAGACACACCACAACGAGGTCAGGAGCGTTTCCTGTTGTTATTCATGTTGTTGTTGTTGTTGGAATGCTCAGATTCCTGATGGTGATTTCTCTCTGCAGATCGTGTCTCTGGCGGCTCTCATCCACTATGAGTTCCAGATGGATAAAGCTCCTCCTCAACCTCCGTACCAGGCAAACTTCTGTGGTGAGTCTGTCTGTCTGTCTGTCTCTCTCTCTCTCTCTCTCTCTCTCTGTCTCTCTGTCTGTCTCTCTCTGTCAGTCAGTCAGACAGACAGACAGACAGACAGACAGACAGAGCAGCAAAACAAATCAAATATCTGAGAACAATCTATTTCCCATGCATACTATACACATTTGTCAGTGTAACACATGGATGCAATATCAATTTAAAGCTTATTTGACCACAGAATGTCTGAAAGATGATAAAATTAACAATTTTCTGCATCTGTTTAATGAATTTCTTCTCGTTTCTGCAGTGGTCAGTAAACCGGTTGACTGTATCTACCCCTACGACTTCAAAGATGCCGTGAAGAAAAAGGTAAGAAAAATCATTTATTGATAAATTGACAACTTCTTTTAAGACGTTAAAGGGTCAGGAAACATTACAATCAACTATTTTACAATCAGCAATTCAATTAAAAGGATGTTTCTACAGTCCAAAAAGTTTTTATTTTAGACTTGATGGAGAATATATTTGCCTTGAAACTTTCTTCAATGTATGTGAACGACTTCAAAGATGCCGTGAGGAAAAAGGTGAGAAACGATAAGTGTAAATTGCCAGAAAACTGCTATTAACCACAAAGTGAACTTTTTTCATGTGTGAGTTTAATACCAAGACGTAACTACAGAAAGGCAGTGAGTTAAGTTTTCACAAAAAATTGATTCTATAAAACCTAATGGAAGATATCACAGGTTTTTTCATTGTATGTGACACAAACATTTTGAAGTAAACAGTTATTTTTTGTAATGATTGAGTGTTCTTGTTTTTGAATGTGTTATTTTATACCTCGGGACTGTGAGAAGCAGTATTTCGATCTTTCTGTGTGTTACAAACATATTTTGAGATTGACAATAAAGTTGACTTTGACTTTGACTCCTTTGTCAGAACGGTAAAGTGGAGATCGCTTCTACAGAGCGGACTCTGCTCGGCTTCTTCCTCGCCAAGATGCACAAAATCGACCCCGATGTTCTGGTGGTGAGTACAAGATGCTGGGCTGATGACTTGTATCCTGAATGAAGGCACATTTGAGCATGCTCATCGTTATTCTCTTCCTGCAGGGTCACGACATCTTTGGCTTCGACCTGGAAGTGATTCTGCAGAGGATCAACGTGTGCAAGGTGCCCCACTGGTCTAAGATCGGACGCCTCAGGAGATCAAACATGCCCAAACTAGGGGTGAGAAGAATGAAACCTCCTTAGGAGTCAGAATTCTTTGATTTTGAGAAAAAGTCAGAATTTTGATATTTTGGGGGAAAAGTCAGGATTTTGAGAAAAATGTTGAGATTTTGAGTACAAAGTTAGAATTTTGATATTTTGGGGGGAAAAGTCATAATTTTTATATTTTGAGAAAAAGTCATAATTTTTTTATTTTGAGTGAAAAGTCAAAGTGTTGAGATTTTCAGTAAAAAGTCATAATCTTGAGAAAAAATACACAATTTGGGGATTTTTAGAAAAAAGTCCGAATTTTTCCATTTTCAGAAAATACCGTAATTTTCGGACTATAGGGCGCACCTGAATATAAGCCG